AGAAAATATGATTACACTATCTTTTTAAATATAATTAAAAAAAATCTTTGATAAAGCTCTATAAAACATTTGGGAAAAACTGGTAGTGCCAGATTGGTACAGGAGAAGGATCAACCAGTAGCATTTTAGATTTTAGTATAAGGAGGATTTTGAGTTCATGCCAGTGGAGATAAGGGGGTTTCATCTACTTAGGAGAGTGAGTTTCAAAAGGAGAGACCATTAAATTGAAAAGGTTATGTGACACAGAAGAGGGTTTGGGCTGCAGTCTATTATCATCTTTAAGAGCTCAGGGGAATTGGATTTTTCTCCCTATGGTCTCTTAACAACATTCCATCGAATTGGTTAACTCTTTACCACAGAAGCGTCATTATGTAGGTCTGGCTTTATTTATTACCCAATAAAACTATAATAGAAAAGACAAAAATACCTTTATTTCTTTGAGCAAAAAACAAAAAAAAATAAATTGGGTAAACCCCAAAAGTTCTGGCCTAGCAATGCCTTTGCATCAAATAAGTGAAAAATAATCTTTGAATATTTATTGAATAAATTAATATTCCAAGGAACACAGATATGGTCATGTCAGTAGAGAACAATGTTAGAAGATTAATTTGCATTTGTTGATAACACGTGCTGGCACTCTCCCCCCGCAAGGCGTGGGGAGGAGCCTGCTCATGCACATGCATGTAGTATGTTTATCATGTAAAGTTTGCTCCAGAAAGGGCCACTTTACACTGATAGAGATGAATACATAGTAAACAATATGTAGGAACTGCATGCAGGATGTAGGAAGAGAAATACTGTACCAATTGGCAAGGGGCATCCAGCCCATCCAGGCCAGGCTGGCCTGGCTCCCCTTTTTCCCCCTTAACGCCACGGAATCCCTGTTTGTAAAGATTAACTCATAATGTTACTAATACAAGAATTCACTGAAAGCAAAACTGCTAAGGAAATAACTAGGAAAAAAATGCTGGGAGAGGAGCGACTCCGAAGGGACAGTAACATCCGGTAAAGTTTCCCATTCATTCCCATGATAAGACTATGTCTGGAGGCAATGGACCCCTTTTGGGGGGTATGGGATGGCACTGGCTCTTCTTCATATCTATAATCAAGTTCTAGTCAACCAGCACTGCTTGAGAGTTAAGAAATCAGGCAGAGTGAGTAGCCAGAAACAAGATGTGGAGCACATCAGCATAACCTGAGTAGATGCTTCTGAACACCTCTCTGAAGGTCCTTGTTAAATGGCCTAGTGGGGACCTGCTGTTACTGGTCCCTCTGGCCTGCTCCTCTCCCATTTCATCCCTCACACAGGACGTCTGGAGATGGTTCCACGAGTCAGACATACCAACGGGCAGGGCGCATCTAATCCTGGAGCACCCTGTTCTCCTTTCTCCCCTTTAGGGCCCCTTTTGCCTTTCTTTCCCTTTTCCCCCTGTGGATACAAGGGTTTGAATAAAAGTCAGGTTTTATTTGGGGGAAGGGGATAAAAGTGACTTAAAAGAGAGCTTAGCTGAGGAAAATCTGGAAGGGCATTTACCACTGTTTTCTAATTTAGATAAGACATGATACTATAAAAAACAAACTTCAAGGGTGACAATGTATTCTGGGCAGCAAGATAAAGAATTTTATTTCAGATACTCAACTAGAAAAAAGGAGAGGAATGAAAAGGTTGACTCATCAGTCAAGCACATCAATGCTGACCGTCACAATGTCAGAGCCCTTGTGATTAGGGGTTTGTGCTGTGGATCTGGCAAAGGCGACAGGTACCAACTGTACGGAAGCCAGCCAGCAGCAGGTGAAGTTTGGGAGGAGGGATAATGGATCATCCAATTGTCAAGACCTTCCGACTTGCCCTTTTTTCCTGATCCTGTAAAGCCATACAGAATCAGAGGAAACATGCTTCTACCCTTTCCAAAGGAATTCCGTTTTGGAAGTTTGTAGCTCTCATTAAAAATATTCAGATATTGAAATGTGCCTCTATTGCTCTTAACTTTATTTTCCTCACAAAATCAATAGTCAATATTTGACATAATTCAGTTACACAGAAGTTCAGAGTGCTAATACTTGGCAGCAATGGCAATTGGCGAAGCAGACATTTATAAACCTAGGGGGTCTTCTTCAATGCCATCTCTCACTGATCTGATGCCTATTGTTAACAATGGTAAATGAGTTTCCAGCTCACATTGTAAAAAAAGCAAGAAAAAAAATCTGTTGGAGAGAGGAAAAGCAGTTTGGATTCAGTAAAAATGAGGTAGGCAGGAAAATCATATAGTGGGAATGTAGCCATGGAAATTAGTATTTGGGAATCAAGGTACAGATTGTGGGAAGTCTGCATGGATCATAGGATGGAGGAATTAAAGAGAGGAGGCAAAAGGAGAGGAGGGAGGGAATGCGCCCCAGCTGTTTCACATTAACACAAACATCTGTAGACTTATAGACAAGGAGTTGGTGCTGTGCAGAATACAAAAGACGATACAGATACATTCTCAAACTAGTGCATTCATTCTGCAATCTGGATAGCAGTTGCAATAAAACTGAATAATCTCTGAAGCAAACAACATGAATATTCAAAATGAAAGGGCACAGAACATACACAACAGAAATGCATGAGATACTCATTTGAATTAATACATTCATCCCACAGCAAAAGCCAAAGATCCTCCTTATTCATCTCCTGTGTGCCAAAAAGATTGCGGCAGAAGGCTGAGAATCAAAAACACTTGGGCTTCTTGAAAACTAGGGAAAAAAATTTTGTGTGGTTTAGTTGATCACGATTGAGGACAAAGACGTGAAAGGCGGGGTAAAAAGAGAGCAGGTGTGCTAGGAAGTAAAACGGAAGATGTATTCAGAAGCAAGAGCTCATTCATGAAGATGAGCAACACTCTTCTTAGCAAGGAACATCGAGGCTATGACATAAATGGGTTTAAACTTGTTTGGATGGGCTCTGCCCTGTCTGAAGGCAGTCGACTCATCTTCAAGAAAGTGTGCTGAGTGCAAACTGGAATTCATTATTTAATTGGCCAATCAGCTTAGATTAACCTCAACGGAACAGGGTGGTCATGTGACTGTTGCTGTGCTAGGCAATGGGAATTTTTCATTAATATTTAAGTGACAGGCTATGATTTTCATGGAAAAGAGATATTACAAAGAATAATGTGTCAATGTTCTTATTAACCAACATCGCTCTAAAATGCAAAGAGCTTATCCATGCACTACAAAATCAACTGTCATTGTATGAGCATAGGAGTGTGTGATAGTTTTTGCTAATTTTTGCTCCTTTATATAGCAAAGAATGAGTTACATAAAGAATTCACATTGGAATCTAATTTTCCTAAATTTGAAACTTCTAATCATGGAAATATTTTTGTACGGGTGATTGACATTTTCCTGTGGATGCTTTATGAACTTTATGCTTTCATACATAAGCTGTAATAATGGAAATTTCTCTTCTTCTGTCTCTGACTTGTCTTCTTCTTTGCAGTGCTGGGGACTGGGCCCAGGTCTTGCACGTACTATGCAAGGACTCTACCACTGGTAATTTCTAACTTGTTTAAAGATCATAAAATTGAGTGCCACATAATGATATATTTTTCCTTGAGTAAGATTTTAGATTCATACAACCCATTAGGTAAATAGAAAACAAATACACACAATCTTTAAAATACATTTACCTGTGCTCAATGCATTCATGCACAGCTTATTTCAAAACATGTATAATTTGTAGTCAGAATTCATATACACAGTGGTTTTCTTGTCTGTGAACTGGGGAAATATTAGTACCAACCTCAGGGTGCTACACAGGTGTTCAACATATGATGCTGTTGATGATGGTGGTGCTCTGGGATGACTATTGCATGCGTTCTTACAAATGGGAGGCTAAGTAACCATTCATACTTAAAACATACACAGGGGGCTTCATAGCCTTTCCTTGACATAGCTCATTTGGTCTTGTGTTACAGCAGTGACAAATTTCACAGTTCAAGAGAATTTATTGTGTTTTACAATGCATTGTTAAGTGTATCAGGACATGAATTGATCTAAGAAGTAGAACTGACTTAAATGGGAATTGTGAGGTATAAGTTCAGCTACTTTGAGATTTTCATTATTGAGGTTTTGGTGCCTTTTGCTTCACCCAAAGTAAAAACTACTTTTATTTACTATTGAATCAAAAAGTCAAGCAAGTAAGAGTGTGTGTGTGTGTGTGTGTGTGTGTGTGTGAGAGAGAGAGAGAGAGAGAGAGAGAGAGAGAGAGAGAAATGGAAAAAATGATGTTTAAAAGTCACAGTCCAAACTTTTCTTAGTCATGAAATCGTGTTGCCTGACATTGGCCCCTAGAAGCTATGGAGCTGATGGTCCTAAGACAGAACATCAACACCAAGTCATAAAATAACCAAACATTCATTTCAGAACCCTGCAACTATTGGCTCTACATCAGACATGGAAGTCCTCACCTCTGCGTAGTGTACACATGGAGGCCTATCTGTCACAATGCTTGTTTTCTAACTTTGAACACACAAAAAACAATAAAGCACATTATTTATCTGTCTTTCTCTTAGGAATATCATGAAGATAATGAGACACCACACAGGGTGGATGGGCTTTGCCAAAATACCACTGTAGGTTTGTGCTATGTGATTTTACTTTTATGAAAAAAAAAAGACTGTAAACTCCTTGACATTACATTTTTCAAAAACTTGTGTCAGGTAGTTGAAAGAAGGCAGCTTTGATAGGGGTTGGAGGCCTTCGCCTACGCTGGGCGGTGCCCTCATTTCTAGCTGCGGAGCCTTTGCTGCTCCTCTTTGAAGACCTGATTTCTCAGAGCAACCATCAGTGTGTGACTGGAACACAAGACTGAGACAGAAAAGGCTTGGAATCACACAGGTTCAGCAGCAAGGCACAAAGCACTAGCAGAAACACTCAAGATGCATGCTGGGAGAGGAGGTCACCTTTTCTCCTTTTTCTCCTAGGTCACCTTTCTCGCCTCGAGGACCAGGGAAGCCCTGGGGGATAAAAAGCAGACCCAATATATCTATTGAAAAAGCATATTGAAATCATATTGAAAACAGTACCACCACCACCACCACCACCACCACATGATTTCATTGGTCTCAATTCAGACATAAAGACTGACAAGTCAAATAATTTTTAAACTTTGAAAGAAAAATGATACTTAGAAATAGTACTTTTCTAACATTTCAATGATCTATGCACAACAGGCTTTTTCCTCCTAAGAAACGTAGAAGGAAAGGCTATGAAGATATTAGTTTGAATACTGGCAAGTTTACTGTCTTGTGTGGGTTTGGGCAAATCACTTACCTCTCTGTCCTTTAGTTCCCTGACTGCAAAATGAGGTTAATAGCTATTTATCACACAGTTGTTGTGACTGTTACAGGAGATGGTGGATGCAAAGTACCAGAATGCTGCCTGAATGTAACAAGTGCTGTATGAACAGAAACTCTTACAAGGTCATTACTCACACACTACAGGATAAGCAGTGATTGTTTTTAGAGACATTCACTTTTCATATTTCTATAGAATTACTGTAGCATAGGAGAAGATGTATAGAGGGACTTAATGCTAAGAAAAAAATACTGTATAACATCTTTGAGAAAAAAAAATTTCCTAAGCACAGTGGGTAAGAAGTAGACCAATTTGATACATATTTTTTCCATAAGTGGGTCATGCTGATGCTGGGATCCTTAACTTAGGGAAGCATGTTGAAGTACCATTATCCATTATCAGCTGTGTATTTTATACTAATTACTGTTTGCCTTTGTTTACCTCGTACAAATACTAGTGTGTTTTATATTGCTGTCTACATATGTGTATGTTTGTATTTATAAGTTATAAGCATAGCTATATGCACAGGCAAAATACAAAGTATTTTTAATGTTCTTGATGATGGAGACCATTGCATCTATCATAATAGAAGATGTTTACTGTACAGATTACTTACATCAAGACCAGGCTCTCCATCTTTGCCCTGCCAAAGAACCATAGTAGCTACATTAGTGTTCCTAAGTTTCATGAATAGGTTCTTGTTTAATTTAAGGCTACTGTGGACATGCAACACTAGTATTAGAACAACTATGCTAAAAATGTGAAGAAGACTCTTGATTAGTAAAGTGAATTTCTGTAAATCAAGTAAAGTGACTGTTAGTGTTGAGGTTATGGGTTGTGAGTAATTTAAATGATGTATTGTGTTAAATTTTACTGAAGTTCAGTTCTTGTTCTCCAACTTACCAGTTCAGAAGGGAAATCAAAAGCAAGAGCTGTTTAGTTTAGTTAAAATACACACTGACACTATTGGAAGATATGAGTCAATGCTATTTCAGTCCGATAGCTTAGAAGTCAATATGCACATGAGAGAAGAGTGTAAAGCTGTTATCAGTAAGTATACTTTGAATTTGGCCAGCTACGCACCTTAAATATGAGAGTGTGAGTACCACAACATAAATGCTGTTTAAAGTCAGCCTTAAAATTTTTTTAAAATTTATTTTTATTTTATGTGTATGACAGCATTGTCTGCATGTATGTAAGTGCACCCAGGTCATGCAAAGCCCACAGAGGCCAGAAGAGGGCATTGGATCCCCTGGAACTGGAGTTACCGATGGGTGTTAGCCACCATGTGGGTACTGGGAATCGAACCCGGGTCCTCTGCAAGAGCAGCCAGTGCTCTTAACCACTGAGCCATCTCTCCAGCTTCCCTAAAGTAAAGCTTTATAGATGAATAATTTCCAAATAAAGAAGGGTTGGTCATAAGACTGTTATGCCAAGATGATAAATTCACCCCCATGGTGCGGACTACCATGGTGATAACATTGTGTCAGAATATGGCTCCACTCTGAGTTCCCAACAACTGCTTAGATTCCCTTAATTAAATTTTGACATCTATCTCAAAATCAGCATCTTTTTAAATCATTGAAATAGTTATGGTTTAAGTTTATTATTTGAGTTCATAAAAAGCACGTGATAAGTACAGAGAGGTTAACGACCACATTGCAACATTTCTACCTGGAGTCCTACTCTATTGAACTGATTATAATTGCAGCAAAGATAAAGGTTTTGAAGTGAACTTGAGATCTCAACTTGGTTCTGTATAATTAAGAACTTTCTGAAGACAGAACACTAACAATTTTCTGTGTTCAGAAGATCATTTTTTCTCATAGTAATTTAGAAACGTCAGAAACACTGCCATCGTGAACGTCCATTTAATTTGGGACATAATTTTTACAAGTACGATTATTTATCAGATTATCTATGAGAACAGATAAGGAATGAAGCAGGTTCTGAAGGAAGCTGTCTATACCCGATTCTGGCTTTGGTGAACTCTCAAGGAATTGCCAGTTAAGAGCGTCCAGTCAGATGGCATGGGAAAGTGTCATCTGACAGGCAGCTTTCTAGTTAGTGTTTTCACCTCATAGGCTCTGGTTACAATTGCATGACACGCTTGGGTGTGTCTGTACTCACAGAGAGGGTATGAGGAGTGGGGAATTACTGGGACTGTGAGGAGTAGGGAATTATTTGTATTTGTAGTCAACCAATGGATTGCTTTTGCTCCTCTGATGGGATTAGTCTGCCCACAAGGGAAGGGTTAAGTGTGCCAGTGGTCAGCCATGGAACATGCTGATGGCTATAACCCCTCACAGGTCAGTGAACTCACAGGCAGGCCATAAGGCCCTCTGGGTCCAGGCTCTCCCATAGCTCCTTTCTCTCCCTAAAATGAAAAGCAGAAAGTTCAAATCATACATTCCCACACAGCTCATGTAGAAACTCTCCATTTGAAGTATTATTCTGTTACCATGGTGCATTTACTAGATGACCTCTGAAAAGGGCAGGAAGAAGCCATGGCTGCCCACATGTACAAGCCCAATACTTAGGAGGTAGGGGCAGGCAGGTCTTTGTGAATCTCGGCTTGAGATATCTATCTTGCCTATCTATCTAGATATCTATCTATCTATCTATCTATCTATCTATCTATTTATCTATCTATCATCTATCTATCTATAGTGAATTCCAGGATCTCGGATATCTATCTTGCCTATCTATCTAGATATCTATCTATCTATCTATCTATCTATCTATCTATTATCTATCTATCATCTATCTATCTATCTATCTATCTATCTATCTATCATTTATCTATCTATAGTGAATTCCAGGATAGTCACAAATATAGAGTCAAACCCTGTCTCAAAAAGTTTTGGATTTTTGAGTGGTTCAGATTTTGAATTTTTGGATTAGGGCCACTTAGCTTATATCACTTTTTTAAAAGCAAAAATTAAAAAAAATCAAGTATCTCCTTGGAGAAGGCCTTCTTTGTCCATCCTTTCCTTTTACCTGACTGTACTTTATTCTTGGCCCTTGCACTCTGAGAGACACACAGACCTTACTACTGTTGACTGTCTGCTGCCCTCACTAGAACATGCACATTGGTACTCCAAGATCTCTAGCTTTTGTTCCCAGCAGCCATGGTATAGAATAATGTTCAGCACATCAGCAAATACTAGTTGAATAAATTAATCATGCCAAGCCATATAATGTTATACACATTTTGTTTCCCTTTTGAAAAAGAAGACTTAAAATCTTTTATGCCTTCACTGACTGCTTGGTGGGAGACATATGTTACCTTCACCACCCTCTCTCCAAGTGCCTGTTTAATAGGGTTAGGGTTACATTTGCTGCAGCTTAAATGATAGTCTTTTAAAAATATTATTTTGTTATTTTTATTTTATGTGTATGAGTGTATCGCCTACATGTATGTGAGTGCACCTGTGTCGTGCAATGTGGCGGAGGTCAGAAGAGGGCTTCAGATTCCCCTGGAACTGGAGTTAAGGACAATTCATAGCTGCCATGTGGGTGCTGGAAATAGGACCCAGGTCCTCTGCAAAAGTAGTCAGTGCTCTTAACCTCCAAGTCATCTCTCCAGCCCCTAAATGATAGTCTTTCTAAAAATTATTTATTTGTATTTTATGTGTATGAGTATTTTGTCTATATGTATGTAAGTGCATCACATACATGCAATGCCTGCAGATGCCAGAAGAGGGCATTGGATCAAATGGAACTGTAATTATAGACAGTTCTGTCTGGGGATTCTCTGAAGAGCCATCTCTCCAGATCCTTAAATGACAATCTTGAAGGCTTGTGAAGAGTGTTACTGGAGGTGGTCCATGAGTAGAAATAATTTTCTAATAAGAGTCTTCAACTGTTTTCATCTGCTGCTGTTTCCAGATTAAAAGTTTGTTAGCATTTAGCACGAAAACTTCATGGGCAATGGTGACATTTACACAAATATCCCCATGGAAAATGCTATCTTCTTTTATTATACTTCTTAGAGGAGCTTAAATTTTAGTCAATTTTTTTTTCTCATGGGTAAAAGCCAAGTTCCCTGAAAACTCTGTGTGCAAAGGAATGGGATACACTTTTATTTCTCTGTTCTCAAGATTTCCATGTGAGTGAATTTCAGATCACTTGCTATTAGTATTTTTCCTTAAATTTAAGTAGCTGGTAAAACTAATGAACATTGTCGGCAATGAGGCACAGACAATGCAGGTGAAATTAGGGCAATTTGAGCTTCTTGTCACTCTGTATTTGCTAATAATATAACAGTAACTGCCCTCAGTTCAGTAGCCAGACCTCAAATGAAATACATTTAATTTTAAATTCTACCTCTGGCATTTTCTCATCTTTCTGTGCCTGCATTATATCAGTTATAAAATAAAATCATGAAACATATTCTTCAAGACTTGTTCTGAAGACTAAGCGGGATAATACACGAAATTAAATGGTGGCAAACAACAGGTGTTCTGAATGATAGGATAGTTTAGGGGCTAGAGGGATGGCTCAGAAGTTAAGAACACTGGCTGCTTTCCCAGAGGACCTGGGTTTGGTTCCCAGGACCCACATGGCCGCTAACAACTTCCCTTAACTCCAGTTCCAGGGGGATCTGATACCCTTTTTGGCCTCCATGGGTAATTCCTACATGCGGCACACTTACATACATGTACACAAAATACTCATACACATAACATTTCTTTTAAAATTTAAAAAATTCTTAAGAATGCTATTTAAAATCAATTCTTTTCAAATGGACTTGGCAGTGTTATTTGTAATTTTTTTTTTTTTGGTCTTTTTGAGACAGGGTCTCCCTGTAGCCCCCAGCTGGCCTGGATTCGCTATGGAGACCAGGCTGGCCTCGAACTCACAGAGATCCACCTGCCTCTGCCTCCTGAGTGCTGGGATTAATTTGGAGCTAGGGTTAGAGCTAGAGAGAGAGGCAGGGCTCAGAGAAGCTGGAATAGGTCTAACTTGAAATAAATTGCACGTTAGACTGGGGTCTCTTCCTCTCTTCCACTGAGAAACTTGGCTGTCTTTTGTTTTTAAAATGAGCACACTGTAATTTATTTGAACAAAGTGGTCACTAAAACATTTGTCTGTGGAACTTCTCTCTGGACCAGCCCACTCCCAATCAATACTTTAAGCTAACAGAGAAGTTCCATTTCTCCAGCCAGCAACTGATTCAGAAGTGGACCTATGAGCCAGCGCTGGCCAATGAGGTGTTGGGGACACACATCTGGGAGCTCTGCAAGGGACCTCCCCATTAAGAACTCCTGTCTCCTTGCGGGAGAGCTCTGTTCTCTGTACACGCCTCCCTGGGTGACACCTGAATCCACAGCCAGGAGTTTGCCTGGGTAGGGTACAGGGCACTGAGGCAAAGCCTAGACCTCCTTCTTTGACTTTTTTGTTGCATGAAATTATTTCTTTTTCCTTCAAGCCACTTTGGATTTGGGGCTGTCCCTCAGAGCCAACAGTATCCTAATAATCACATCTTGGACACGCTCAGGAACGAAATACTAACACAGAGAGTTTAATGTGTAGCTTCCTCTCCTGGAAGAAGTGGCTCCAAAAGAACTTTTGAACCTCTCAAACTCAGAGCACTACAGAACGCTGAAGGAGTTACAAGGCCAGATGAAGAATCAGCATTCAAGATGAATCCATTAGCTTGCTTTTGGCTCTGAGGGATGGATCCAAACTCAAAATGGCTTGAAGAAGAAAGAAATGTGTTGTTTGATGTAACAAGTCAAAGGGGGGGCTCTTGGCTGGTTTCAGTGCCTTGCCTTCTACCTGACGGCCAGCAGAGTGGAAGATGGGGAGTGTGAGGTGCTTGGAGAGCTGCCTGCTAATGCTGCCAGTCACATACTTGAGAAATACGGAGTCATAGTTCCTGTGAAATGCTTCATTTCTTTTAGGCTTCATTGAATTTCATTCGGGCTCTTTCACCACATATCAGCACAGAAGAAATATTCTAGAATGCCTGCTTTTGTCCATTCTTACTGCTTAAAATCAGAAACTTCTGTTAGAGCTCCATATGGCACCTCAATTAACTTTGAGACAGTACACTCCAGCTTAGCACTTTGTGTGAGGGAACTTGGAGCACACTGACACAGATCCAGTTAAGATGGTCAACATGCTAGTGGATCCGAGTGTGACACTTCACAGTGTGTGCACCTGACTTCAACTATGCCTTCCAAAACTCCCAGCACTTGCTCTTCTGGTTAATTCTGCTCCAGTGCTGAGACCTGATACTCTTGTGACACTGTGGAGCTATCGGAAGTAGCAGCTGATTTACCAAACAGCAAACCCTCTTGAGCCCCAGGGCATTCTGCCAAAAGACTGCCTGAGCTTTGTGGCTCCAGTTTTAGGACAGGGACTGGGTTTCTTCAAACAGTGCTTGTAAATGAATCTGTATCAGCAGCAGGGCACTTATAGCTCTGAAATATGTTTAATGAGGATGTTTATCTGAAGTTATTGGTTTGATTTTAGAAGTAATGTAATAGTGGGTTCTGATTATATGTTCTTTAAGACTCATTTCTTTCTGGAACTCTTCACTTCACTTCGCTTCACCTTATGATTGGTCTTTCCCTTGTCCATGCATATATATTTCTTTCATATATTCTTTCCTTGAAATTACATTACAAGCTCTTCTAGATCAATGAACATAGCTGCTTCCTCTGCAATATCATTTATATATTGAGTATATAATTGTAATCATTAAAAGTCAATGTAATGATGAGTCAATTATAATGGTATTACTCAGTGTATCGGAGCAATTACCAAAGGAGGCTTTCTGCAGTCGAAATACTGTTTCCTCCATACCAGAAGGATGCTGTTAGATTTGATAAGCATTTATTGCATAAATGACTTTATTTTACAGAACACAGGACTAGGGAATTAAAAGGCATGTCAAATAAATTACTATCTGGTCTTCTTTTTTAAAGCAAATTACCCAAGACTGATGAAAACTGCCATTTAAAAAAGACCACAATCTTGTGCAGTGAAGCATGCCAACATTGTGATGCCTGCACTTTTAGCAATACGTTATCTCTGCATGGTGGGGAAATTGATGACCCAATTCTACACACACACACACACACACACACACACACACACACACTTTTGAGTTTTCCAATGTAAAGGAAAGAAAATATGGGAGAAAAATAGAGAGGGGGAGAAGAAGCTGCAGACACATGACCACCGCTGATGCAGCAGCTCGTCTGTGTGTCAGATATTTCTCTCTCCTCTGAGTGTCTACCTTTTTTTCCTCCTAAGGATATGGAAACATAGGCCAGCAAGAGTGAGGTTAGTGAAAGGTTTTTGTTTTATAATGCACTGAAATTATTTCCTTATGGCTAAAGAAAAACAGGCCATTCTTTAGCTTTAAAAAATGAGAGCATGGGTAACTGTGTGGAGAAGAAAGCTTAGGTTCTGTGATTTCCTTTGGAAAAACATTGTAACTTACTCTGAGTGAATACAGTAGCTTTGTATTAAAGATTATCAACCAGAATATGTAGCTCTGGAAATTTTAGGCCCATTGAGTTCAACTTTCTGAATGAAAGCCCAATGAAAATATCTTCCTTATGGTTAGGAAAGAATAATGGGAGCTATTTATTTTAGCTATGTAAATGTATGCATTGTTTTCATTAAAGCACTAGTCTATCTTATTTTTGTTCATTTCATACAAAACATCTTAATCATCTTTATACCCCCTCCCAGGATGGGATATATTTTCATTTAATACTAGAATACAGTCTGAGATCATCTCACATGGAGAAGCTTACTCCGTGTTCCCTTAGTGCTCAATGCAAGTGTAATAACCTTAAGAGAGACTTACTCTTTCTCCCTTGGGACCTGCAGGGCCATGGGGTCCCACAGGACCATCTGCACCCTAAAAAGATAAAAAATAAAGTGATATGAGACAGGTGAGGAGGGCTACAGGAAAGGCAGTTCTGATTTACCCTGGCTTGTCTGGGAGGATGATGCCTCAGGGCGTCATAGGACAGAGAATCTCCTTTCAAAGCACCTTCTTCTTGATTTTCTTTTCTTTTTTTTTTTTCAGACCAGTAGTTTTTTAAAAAAAACTCAGGCAATGGGGATGAATTATGTAACTGCATATTTCAATGGAAAGTACACACAAAAACCATATGTCATAGTTATTTATTGTTCCCTGACTAAATAGAGCATCTTCATTTTGTCCCCATAATCTTACTAAGATAGTTATAACCGTCCTTCCCCTTTACTATCTTTACCCACTGCCACTGACACTCATGGCACCAAAACTCTGAAACTTTGTTTTTTGCCATTTAAATAGAAAAAGCCATAAAATGAAAAAAGCTTTTAACTGTTCAAAACAAACTTTCTACCGCTCTATCAGAACAGCAAGGGCTCATGGGGAAGGACTCCTTCTTCTAGGCCCTGTGGCAGCAGCTGAAATCACTGCTGGCAGCTAGCATACCAGGCAGGAGGGATGATTTAATGACATAATTGATTTCCGGCCTTCTGGCTACTTCAGGACTAGGAATTGTGTGATAGAAGAGGTAATATTCAAATGAATGTAAGAACTCTGTGGTCCAGTGGAAAATAATTGTCTGAAGATTTTTAGAACTGAAAAACTTCAAATGTAGAGTCTTGAAAATGTAGGAAGGACTTTAAATATATTGGCTCAACTGTCAAGAAGGCTATGCTTGTCCTAGCAAAGAATCTAGAAAAGTATTTGCACATATGATAACTATTTCAACAGGACTTTTCTGTAGTGCTCACATCTCTAGCCTGGTACTTTGTTAGAGTCTGAGATGTAAGAATTCAGAGGTTCTAACTCATTCTAATACTGGTGAATTCTTATCATTTTAAGCTTTCTCTTACTACTTCAACCCAAAGTTCATTTTCAGAAGACTTCTAAATACTAAGTGTCTATGGCTACTATTTAAGAGGTAGAGCTGTCAAGAAACAAAGAAAATAGATTAAAAGAAGATAGACAATTATTTTCATAAACCGAGACTTGGAAGTTAGTTTTAAGGAAGACATATTTCCAAGATGGACATAAACCTAAAAGGAAAAGAAAGTTAAAATAAATTTATCATTTTCACTGCTTCAGAGGGTCTTCCTCATGGAATTACAGGCAACATTTAAGGTTCTCAGGGGGTGCTGAGATAGTGAAGCCACCTGGACTGGTCATTTTCCACTAGTGAATTATGCAGACTTGAACTCAGGCTTCAGATGTCCTGGCAGTTGAGGCCAGGCTTCAACACTGAAGCCCATCCCATCCCCATTTCTCCCTTTCCACCATCTTCAACCACCTTCCCCTTTGATTCCAGGCCTACGTGACCCCTCATCATCTGATGAGAACCCAGGGAACAAAGGGGTCTTCCCAGAAGCACACCATTCACATCCACGAAGCACATGCGAGCAGGACGCAGGACCGACTCACCCGGGATCCTGGCTTTCCGTCTAAGCCAGATGCTCCCTGTGTGATTTGGTTGGTGTCAGGGTTGGTGGGTGTAACACGAATGACAAGAACAGAGATTAGTATGAAGCACCGATGAACAAGGGCAACACTTCAAACAAGGCAATACACAGTCACAGGTATCTGGGATGAATATCACATTGCTACAAATAGTTAGTTTTAAAAAAATCACATGACAATACACACCCAACAGATGATGTATTTTAGTGATGTTCCTACTATGAAATTTTCATTTAGAAATCAAGTGAGAGAGATTTAAAAAGTGGGCTACAAAGCACTTGCTGACAACAGCAGGGGCCTCCTGGCTACATTTCCATTTCCTAAATGAATTCATTTTCTACAGACTCTTATTCACACTCTATTTCTTTCGGTTCTGAAGAAAAGGTAATGGGAATCTCTTGAGAAAAGGCTCATTCTAATAACTAGTCTGGGTTAGGGCCTCGGAGGAGAGAAACGGAGCTCTGGCTTTACCTGTTAAAATGGTTTTATGAACCAAAATGCTGTGCTTTAAAATGTTGGACTGACTAGATTTTATATAGGCATTATGTTCTGTATTTTCTAAAGTTCATATTAGTTACCACTAGAGGGACTTCTAGGAACAGGAAAAAAATCTGCGGGCCCAAGGTACAATAACTCCCAATTCACTACATTGAAGTTTACATGAGAAACACCTGAAAAATCTAATGTTCTCAGACAATGCATGCTTTTCTTTACCTTGAACTGTGGGCTACACATAGTACATGATAAAAAAAATGGTATTTTATATGCTTGTTTCAAGAAGGAGGGTAATTACTTCTTGATAAAGTTTTTGCATCTCAAAGCCTGAATACCTGCTTATATTACTTTAAAGACATTGATTAGATGTAGGTGTATTTAAGAAGGGGTACAGCAGTACTTTCTTGGCAAGGCTGTAGGAGTCTTTCTCAGCTTCATGCTTGGGCTGTGGTTAATAACACAAGTGGAAAGAAAAAAAATCCACCCCAGCTGCAAACACTCTCACTGATGCTAATCCATATATATTTGGGGTATTTTTTTTAATTAAAAATTCTTCAGTATGAGCCTATCAATGATTAATGCTATAACTGTAAAATATGTCTTTAGTTAGCAATGATTATAAAAATATGTTTGTTAATGGTTTCATAGGTATAGCTTTTGGTTAAGTGTTCAGTAAAAATTACCTGCAGTCCTAAATTTAACAGTTGTGAAAAATTAGAGAAATCAGATTAAAAGTCTGGGAAATACAAACTTTCTTATGTCTTTTGGTATTTTTTTACTTGCCATTATTATAACATTTGAAGATAAATGTGAAAATGAAAGTTTTATATTCATATATAATTCTATATCTACCTGGGGTGCTGAACTAATGGCTCACAAATGTTTTCGGGGCTTTGTGCCTAGGATCCATTTATTCAATTGGCATGAATTTACTTAAATTCAAATACAGAACATTTATAATTTACTCAGTAAGCAAATGTAACAAAATTTGTTATGCCTTATTTGTAAATTATGAGCTGTTGAGGGAAGTATGTTAGTATTTAAGTCATACTCATGGGAAAAATGAATAGGTGATCATCAACATTTTTTCTGTTACATCTCAAATACATTCACACCTATTTTCTGTTACTGGTTTTATATCATATTCTACTAATATAACCTACAATATTCTTTACTGACTTTACTCTGCATTTAATGAATAAGCAGCATATTAAAAGTCTGAAATTAAACTGTTATACTCAATAATAATTTTTAAAACTCTTTTTAGTTGTGGGAAGATTGGTATGTAGTATATGACTCGGGGAGATCTGCTTTCCATGAGAGATGAAAATCTCCAAAGAAGCAGCTTACTTCCATACATCCCATTATTGTCCCACGAACCTCATGGCAGGGATTTTCAAAACGGACAACATAAAACATGTAGAACACAATGTGGTTGATTAATGTAAGGAGCCACAGCACTGACCTTGGCAATGGTCAATTGCATACCTGCCACCGACAGAGGGCTACAGTTTTTGGTATTCAAAGAGAAAAAAACAGTTGAGGGAGGGTCTTAACCTGTATTAGATCACAAAAGTATTTGGGAGAATTATGAAATAATCAACAGTAAACGTTTTGAAGGACGGTAACGGAAGAACTGTTAGCCCCACTAGAGGAGGGTTGGCGTGTATGTAATTGAAGAATGACAGAACACTTGCGGCATTATTTGTTACGGGATCATCCTCGGACATGAGCAGACATCGAGGAAAACAAAATTGGGCTGAGCTCTGCTCTGACATACGGCATGTTCTGATTACAGAATCTCAACTGTAAGATAGCCACTGAGCAAACCAGAGATGTTACTTAGGGTAGAAAGAAAAAATCCGAGATTTGCACTGAAATGGAAAGTTTTCTTTACTTACTGGAAGACCAAGGGGTCCTCTGTCACCCTTTTGACCTGGTTCACCCTTCAATCCTTTAACACCATTTAACCCTGGTTCACCCTAAATGCAAAAGCAAATGCCAATTTTGGTTGCTATTATGGGTGTTTAAACTGTGAGAGAAGAGAGCCAGTCTCTGAAACACATGCAGATTCCAGTTTCAGGTAACAGTAGAATCAAGCTAGACTGGTCTTTCACCAGTTAAAAACCCAGCTTAAAACTTAATAAACGAGACTTGACAAATTTTCATTCTAGAAAGCAAATCCCAGGAAAGTAGACTCCTTAGCATCAAAAGATAGATTGCTGACTTCCTGGATATGGAGGAAATGAGTGAACACTCAAGAGAGTGAGTGTCACACTACCTGTTTTCACCAAGCAAATCAAAGATGACCAGAGCAGAGGATGAGAAGGAGGATCCGTAGGAAAAACCACTCTGCTGGAATGGGAAACTGGAATCTGCAGGACAACGTCACAGACAGATACTTTAAGCCTTTAAGCATTTTGCCCAGGGGAATGAGCTAAGCGTGTAGAAGCATGTTTGCAGTAATGCCATTCAGCAAGTCCGCCTTCATTGACATTGCCAAGTCAGGCTCCTACGTGGATTAATCAATAGAGTTAACCACAAACTGCCAATCCCAGAGGAGAATATGAAGATCAAAGAACTTGAAAATAGCTTTACTAACTGTCTACCTAAGTTTAGAATGAAGGGTGACATTACAGGAACAACAGTAAGTGGTAAAGCCTCTTGTCTCCATTTAGTAAATCTAGGAATAAAGTACACCTATTTTCCTTCAGAAACATGTTCAGAAACATGTTAGAGACAGAGAAAGACACATATACTTTTCAACTTTTAAGTACAGACATTTATTTGTCAAGAAAACATTGAAAGATTTGTAAGAGGAAAGTGACTTCTAGGGCGGGGAGGCCATGCTCACCTTGCAGAAGGGATTTTTAACCTACAAAGTATTTACTCAGTCTGCCTGATGGTGAAGAACAGTGTGCTGCTTGTTAAACATACTGTTCAGGGGCTCATCATATCATATGGCACGGGAATGGGCATAATCACTAAGCCTCCTAGATGAGCCTTCTCATCAGGAAACTGTGGGACAGTGAACTAGATGTACCTATGGACCCATGGTAAATAATAGAACTTTCAGAGGGCCCACCCATGGTCATAGCACAGTGGATGTTTCAGATTCGGATGATAAAAGAGTTTGTGGTATAGCCACAATACGAAATGTAGATGTGCTAGGTCACTGTCACAGTCAACATCCTACTGAAGTCAAGGCTCTTGAGATCCACAGCTTTGCAAGTGAGCACATTTCTAGTGTATGGGTTTAAGATGATGGATAGGCTGTGAAGCTTCAGCAGACTGCGAGATTCTTTGGTGGAGAACCAGGCATTGATAAAAGTGGTCATATATGAGGTCTCTTCAACTTCATAATTTGTTAAAATCAATGATTTAAGTAACAATTGAATTTTATAGATAAATCATTTTGTGTATCCAAAGGAAATTGGGCATGATCTAATTGAATGGCGATGACATATCTCAATCGCCATGGAATAAAAATAGTCTTGGTAGCTTTATTCTGTTATTATAATGCAGCTTGGCTCTGGTAGTGCCTTCAAACCCAAGGAGAATCCAATAGTAGGAAGCATGGATTTAGTCCATGTCGGGACAAACAGGCCCAGAGAGGTTAATAATGACCTGGATCACACACTGACAGATGCAGTTCTCTCTCCTGACCTCAAGAACTGAACCCATCCCTCGCCCAGACTCTAATCTATACTTCTGAGACATCGTCTTTCATCGGCTCAACCAGAAGGTAAGGTGTTTTAAGAAGAAAGAGGTGTGAACTTTTCCCATTCTTGTGTGTTACCTGTCTGGCCCTGAAAAGGCAATTCAGTTTCCTGTGTTAGACTAGCACTGATGTCACTCAGGGCGGCCAGAAGGGGGGTTCCTCTGCAGCCCTTGGGAAAGGGTGGGCTGCCTCAGGGCTTTCTGATGTCTAGTGCTGACACTGCATTTCAGGGTGTTTTCGAGGTCTATGTAAAAGCAAAGAGCAGGCAGCGACCATCTTCCCACTCTCAGGTAATCGTTCTGACAAGGAGGAATTAGTTTCTTTTGGACTTCTGTAAATGACGTGCCCTCACAGCTGATACACCCTAACCTACCTAGATCATGACCTGGGGGAATCAAGGCATGTAAATATAGTAGTGCTATGTGACAAGAGACTTTCCGTTAGTAACAGATACAGAGATAGAGGCAACATGAAAAGAACACGCTCCTAGACTAGTCTGAGAATTTCATCAGATGACTTCTATGATCAGTGGTTTAAAAAACTTACAAGGGCAAAAGCAAAATGAGGAATGATTGATTTCCAGATGATATCACTTAAATTCATCGTGAGTCATGTTGTATTGTGAGAGTTAAACATCTGGATGCTTAAAGGCTTAAAGATTATCAACAGTACTTGACAAATAAATAAGACAGGACAGACATGCTTCCGTCATGCTTGCCCATGATCATCAAGGAAACAGAAATCAAATAATCAAGGGATTTGTTGGATTACCTTTGGTCCAGGAAGTCCATGGGGCCCCTGAGAACGGAAAGCACAGCTTTTAATTAAAAACTGATTCACTGCTTCCTTGTAGAAGTGAGTATTATATCAAGTCTAAAATGAGATGCAAAACAAGAATCTTCTTGTTTGAGCTAGCTAGAGGCAGGTCAGTGGAATGTTATTTATTACCTACCAAATGTTCCTTCCAGCTCTTGGATTGCTCTGTAATAAGAAATTCATTAATAGCAATTCTGCCTGCTAAATACCTATGAGAGGGAGAAAGCTGCTGGGGTTACATGGAAGAAAAATTAGGAACGAAAACCCCTATTTTGTATTTACATTACTCCTACTTCTCAGATTTCCATTTTATAACCTGGTGGAATATTTGAGATGAATTTTTATGAAATAGAGGTAGAACTTAAAAGCCAGAAATCTAGTAAAGAGAAGTTCCATAGTTTCGAAACCAGGGAGGAGGAGGAGACCTTTCTCCTTAACTCCTCCATACCCAGGGCGGTGAAGAATCTGAGACAGGAAGTAAGGAGATGGCAGCCAAGTGGGACTCTGTAGATTCATCAATTTAGGATTAAAGAGAGCCAAGCATTATTATTTAGACTGCATTTGTTGTTAGAGATGAAGTCCTCAAGGCTCTTTTAACAGCTGTTTACCAAAGGAAGGCAGTCATAATGAATGCATGAATTGGGATAAAAAGAAACCGTTATTTTGCAGAAAGCAGAAAAATAGAGACTAATTATCAATTTAAATGAACTGAAGTTTATTGGGAATTGCTTTGAACTTTCAAGAGATTCTAATAATCTATTCAAGGAGATGAGTATTTAAATATCCATCAGTGAAATACAGCAGCAGAAAAAGATAGGTGACCATGTAGTGCCTAGATACTTGTTATATATGCCTACACTATAATAATGTTTTCCCTTTCGATAAGTTGTGGGCAAACATTTTCAGGAAATGACTATCTTTCGGGTATTCTTATCTCATTTTAATAACGGTTTAAAATTCCTTTAAGCTAATTAGCTTTATCTTATGAACAGGATGTACCATTTTCTAATTTAACGTAACTTAAAAGGAAAAGGAGTATAAAAAAGTCAAAAACATGCCATTTGCTTCATTCTTAATGAACTGTTTGGTATTGAGAAAACAAGGTCAATGGTGGTTATAAAATAGAAATGGCAATGAGCAAGACCTGGATGGTGGCTACCCTCTGCGGCCTGGATCACAGCCACGATGCTCTCTTTAGAGTGTAGTAGGAGGAGAGAGTGGCCACAGTTGACTTCATTTATGTTATTGATGTCTTTTGGTTGGTAGAGACACCTGAGAGATGGCTGTTCCTGGACAGTATGACTTGCTCCTGGTTGTGTCAAGAACACTTGAAGGCCTTTGCCATCCATATTCTGGCCTTAACACAACTCTCAGCTTGCTAACATTTAGAGACTTAAACTTGTTTCACAGAGACTTTTCTCACTGGACAGTCTATGAGGTCAGAACCACTGTTTCTATTGGTCTCTGCAAGACAACTGCAATTGCAGTAAAACTGGCCTGGCTTGATGAATCACCCAAAGCACCCTTAACCTGAAAGCAAAAAGATCCAACAATCTACGCCATCTGTGGAAGTAGGTCTCAGTCTTTATCACACTGTTGAACAAATACTCTAAGGCTCTCATGCCTCAATGCTGCTTAGAAACACTCTTTAGTGGCTCAATTATTGCTTTAATTTGCTACTAACAAACTACAGCAGTAACTAGTTGAAATAATTTGCTAGATCTATCTCTCCCCAACTCTCTCTCTTTCCAGCACATGAGTTTGGGTGAAAGAATTATAAAGTAGTCACTATTTCAAAGCACCTCACTTTTTATAATTTTCCATCTCACAAAGAGTAATACAAAATGCAAGCTGGGTGTTGAGAATAATGTGTTCACCTTCCTCTAGTAGCACACTCACACATGAATGAGTACAGAGAAATGAAACTTACCATGGGTCCGGGTGGGCCATGGGGACCTGGAGGGCCTGGTGGGCCTATGATCTGTGTGTCCAAAAAAATAAACATAGATGTGGTTACTTCATTTAGATAAGGTAGCGCAGTGTGGGTCTTGTGCTGGGGATCTGCTAAGGCCGTCAAAAGCCACAGAGGAAAAGAGGGCTGTGAGAAGTGATGTTCAGTCTCTAGCTTTAGAAATTCCTCTATGAGACTAAGATAACTTTGAAAACTACAGTTGTTATACAAAAGCCAAAGGTATATTAAAAGAAAAGGAAGCAACTGATTATTGAGAAATTCTATAATGCTACAACCACTGTGAGACTCAGATATCTATTTCACTCAGCATAAATAGGATTCTGGAGAAAAAAAAAAACTATGTTCTATTTTCACTAAATTTACCCATAAGCATTATGGGAAAACCATTTTTTTTCTTCCTCTGTTCTGAAAAGTTGCTTCTAACTCAAACTTCTGAGATACACTGCCTCTTACTGTACAAGACATATATATTATCTACAGTTTGATGAACCAAGTAGTTCACTGTCTTCCTACTATTGATGAGGCATCTGCCTCAGGGGGAGCTAGGCAAATAAGAATTCTGTCAGCCCCGTGGACTTACAGAAGGACCCTGAGGACCCGGCAAACCGGAGTCTCCTTTTTCTCCTTTTACTCCATTGGCACCCTACAAATGACCAGGAAACAGAGGTTAGTAAGTAAAGGCGTGAGAGGGAACTGACTTTTCCCCCAAACCATCATTCCCTTGAAATACTGTATTATGCACATAATATATAAAAGGTTTTATCTCCATGTACTTAGTCTAAAACTTCAAACTTACTAAAATCTCTAGGATTATGGGTGATATTTAAAACAAAATGTAAAGTAAATACAAACCAAGCTAAGCCTGATTTCACAGCATTAAATATATTGGATGATAAATGTTATTTATGGTCTGCTCATTTTAAGTAGTAAAGGGGGAGGGAGACTTTTGTCTCACTGACATTTACTTACATAGTTTCTTATTTAAAAACTGACTGTTCAAGGGGTTGAGGCAGGAATATCAAATGTTCAAGGTCTGCCTGGGCTATAGAGTGAGTTCAAGTCAGCCTGGGAAGTTTTTTAAAATAAAAATTTTTTGGGAAAAAAGGACTGAGGATACAGCTCAGTGGAACAGTGCCTGTCTAGCATGTATGGGGCTGAAGTCAAAGGAGGTGGAGGGCAGTGAAGTCTCTATATTTTTCTTATAATTTGTATATTTTCCCTTCTTAATTCTCAGAAAAACAGTGAACATTAAGAAGAGAAAGCATCTTCCCAAAGTATTAGACACACAGGAACACAAGAGTAACTTTTCTTTAATTGTTTTACAGTGTTTGGGTTGTTTCGGATGTAAATCTGCATGTAAGAAGCATAGCACCACCAGATAGGTATGTCCTGGGGATAAGGTTCCAAAGATATTACAGTTTGTTTATAATTACTTGATTATACTTACTAAATTCAAATGAACAATTATATTTATTTTATTATCATTGAAAAAATAATTCAGGAAAATATGAAAGCTTGCTCTATAATTGACTTAGCTACATGCTTTTAAATTTTATTTTCTCATCTGAAAAATCTAAGCAACAATACTTCAAGTATTTAAAAAATAAAAATAGTACGGAAAGCTTTGATTGAGAGTACAGTGAGTGATAATATTCTTTTCTAGCCATTTATTTTAGTAAGAGCTTATTGTAAGGATAAAAACATACCGGTAATCCAGGAAGTCCAATTCCTCCTTTTTCACCTGGCATGCCTGGGTCTCCCATGTCTCCTTTTGAGCCTTTAAGTCCCTACAAGTGATAGAGTTTGTATGTAAGAACACAGCGACACTGGATAGGTACATCCTGGGGATTAAATTCCAGATAAATTTGTCAAGTGGTAGGTCCACGCTGAGATGATTATTTTTATTTTCAAGTTTTTTTTACAACCTTCTACATGGAACCAGTAACATTTCCCCACGGAATAGAAAGGATTAAGTTCTATAGACCATTTAAGTATGAAAAACATGAACTTATGGTTTGACATTGTTTCTCCTTGTTTCATAAATTGACTTGGCAACTAATTCTATCATGCCAGTCCAGAAAACAATGTAATGATCTTAATTCTCAGCAGTACAATAACATTTTGAACCAGGACTTAGTGCTATAAGAGCAGAAATCCAAGTGATTTTCCCCATCTTCACACAGTCTATTCCTCTCTCTTAAGTGTATGCCCAAGTTCTAGCTGTCATCAGTTTCCAACACTAACGCCCAATCGATGCTTTAAAACACTCAGCCTTTTCAGCATCTCCTTGGTTCTCAGACATCTCTGCATGGTGAGCTGGGACATTATTTTAATTCTTCTTTTACAACGAGGAAATAGATGTGTGCATTTTGAATGCTAAAAAAATATGCATTATGGAACACTCACATTGAAATTAATTCACATCACTAAGCTTCTCCTAGCAACCTTGCATCAGTACAACCAGATGATCATGGTTACTATGGTAGGGGACTCACAGGCTGCACAAACCTGCTCATCTTAGGGACAAGAACACGTAGTATTTTGTTAGCATCCTTATTTTACAGCACTTAGTTCAAAATCATGCACTTGGGAGAGTGGATTGGTACCAGCAAGGTAGATGGATCATGCTGGTTAATTAGAGCCTGATTGGTCTAAGCAATCTTGTGAGAGCAACATGGCCAACCCACAGGGCTTAGCAGGAGAGAAGGAGCTTGCAAGGCCTATAGTAAAATCCAGCACAGTCAGTACATCACTACGCATATCCAATTTATTATCTGTAATGACTGACAAAGGGGATCGGAGACCTAAGGTGGCCTCTGATCGATATGGCAAATCACCTAATCTCTATCATGTTTATTTAATGTGACATTACATGACTTCAACATCTGACTCTGTTATTAAAAATTACTCTTCTCCTAGACTTAATTTTTTTTTGTCTAATCTTTTCTCCTGCAGAGTATATGGTTCACTTACTATATCAAGAATTCCTTTGATTTCTTAATCTTTAATTCAAGATGTTTCTTATTTTTTTAAAAGTTTATTTTTTATTTTATATTTTATATATATTTATATTTTATACGTATGTGTGTGTGCCTGGATGTATGTATGTGCACCATGTGTGTGCAGGTGCCTGTGGAAGTCAGAAGAGGGTGATGGGCGCCCTGACACTGGAGTTACAGACCGTTTTGAGCCACCTGATGTGGGTGTTAAGAGTCAAAGAGGGTCCTCTGGAAGAGCAGCAAATATTCTTAACCACTGTGCCCGCTCTCGGGCTCTCCAGCCATTTCTTGAGAAATAATGGAAGTCCATATCAGCTCAAAGATCTTGAAACTAATTCTGTGGTTTGATTCTGAGTACTGTCTGCATTCTCTTAGTAAGATTTTTAAAAGGCAGGGCTTGCCAAACCACAGCTCACAAGCCAAGTCCAGTCTAGAGACTTTTAAAAAATGCTGAATTGAAAAAAAAAAAAATTAAGATGTGTTTAAAGGAAAGAACATATAACAGAGACGATATGTGACACACACAGCCTAAAGTATTTCCCCTCTGAACTTCTGTGTTGGGGGAACCCGCAAAGCTACTGCTGCATTCTGAAGGCACAGGTGCTCTGCATTTGGTCTGTCTTTTCAAGAGATCTAGAAAATTAGAGGAAATCACTGTTTGGGAGAAGAAATCATCAAACTACAGCATATAAACAACACTAATTTTGTGAAAACCATGGCTACTCATTTTAATATTGAATTATTTGTAGTCACTAAAAAATAGGCTATTCTTACTAATTTGGTAATGATTTTACAGTTATACTAATTGATAGATCAGTAGTATTAAAAACAAAATCAAAGTATCACATAGCTTTATGTTTCTGCCAACAAAGTCTATGTCTAATTTTAAATGAACTGCTGTTTAAGAGTTCACATAGAACAAATGGTGGGGAAAAAGAGAGGATGTCATATACCAAAGACAAGATCTTTTTTCTCTTCAAATCTCTAATAAAAGTAGTGATCAGTAATGATGCTTTAAATAATGGTAACTTTGAAAATTACCTGTTCTCCATCAACTCCGGGGATTCCTGGAGATCCCTGCTCACCCTGGTAAGATAAAACACAAGAACTTGCCTCTACTTATCCTTGTTAACATACCATGCTAAGAAGCCATGCTAGTTGGTTAAGAGTACAGTTTGACTTTGAGCAAATGCATTTTAACACAAAGTTACGCTGGTACAGCACATACATCTAAGCTAAGTGAAGTGGCAACCTTTCTTAAAGATTATGTGCAAATAATAATCATATGTAGCTATGACCCAGTGGTTTTAGTTTTTCTTCCATGTGAGCAGCAGGCTAAAAATGTTTTAAGAATGCTAATTATATACAATTTTACGGCTGACCACATCCTAAAGCAACACTTCCATGACTGTTATTTTTTCTGCGTAAGGAATCTGTATGGTTTCTCTAATTTTTCAGTAACAAGCAAACTTAACAGTTAAATTGAGAAAGAGCAAAACGCAAAGCTTGGTGAATTTACAGCAATATTTTTAACTGACACAATGTGAAAACATTCATGATGATTGTGAGTGTGCCTTGCCCAGAAAGAGGACACAGTAAATCAAATAGCCTAACCCACATAAAACAGCGTTCAGACAATTCAATTTCCTATACTATGTTAGAAATAAAATAAGATTTTCTTTGCATAGTATGATTTATTGGAATGTTCGACAAACTCAAAATATATAGACTTATGTTTTAAACTGAAGATGTTCCACTAAAAACAAATCTAAACAACATGCTGGTGATGATCTCAACAACACATGTTCATTCATCTTTCAGTTCTGAAAGATACAGAACAAAACTTCCTTGAAAGGTAAGGCATTATTTTATATCAATGAGCTATCTGCCTGGATCCCATTACAAACACCCCCAATTTCCACACTGTGTAAAGTCTAAAGACAGCCCTTCTGGGTTTAGTGCCCACCTCACAGAGGGGTTTCCCAAGGAGCAGACCCAAGGCTGTATTTTCTAGGAAAGGTTGTTTGGTGATGTTATAAACCACAATATTGAACCAGCTAGGGCTCCTTTCCCTGGTAAAAACTTTAAGAGCTATGGCCTCACCATGAAATCTGAGCTTTCTCAATGTTTAAGGAAGGCATGATCTTGTGGTTTCAAACAAATGAAATAAAAAAGGCCTTCTCTCGTTTAGGATTTCCTGCTCTTTGTGGTAGTAGCAAAGTTTATTTTGCCACAAACAAGTCTGCTGGGGTTGGATGCACCTGGCTAAAACCCAGTTTCATCCAAAGTCTGGATACCTGTCAACACTTGAGTCCAATTACCATTGCTTTGCTGAGCTGTTACCTTTACAATGTGACCCAAGAAGGCTAAAGGAAAAGCAAGATTCATGTGTTGTTCATATGTCCTCCGTCACTGGAGAGTGGTTTGTAAGAGCTTTTTGATGTGAAAAAATTAAATAACTCTTACTTCATGATGGAAGGAGCAACGCTAATGAATAGGTTCCCTTTCAGTCTGAGATGGTAAGTACAGAAATGGGAACGGGTCCTGCACTTGACTTAGCAAGTGCTTTGCTGTCTCATAGTTACCGACATAGCCCACCTCAATTATCCTAACCTCCAGAAGAGATCAATGGAAGTATAAAGGCTCTATCAGCTAACACAAGATCTCAGTGACATGATACTGTGATACTGCGGAGTGTGTGGGCTGACAGTGACAGAACACTGGACAGAATGGCAAGGTGGTCAGTAACAAAGAGTGACTAGCCCCATCTCTGCAGATTTCAAATGGCCAGCCTTTCTCTTTCCGTTTCAGCTCAAACCCTGCTTTGATTTTTAGAGAGGCATTCTCATGCTCATACATCCCACAAGCTCTTAATCAAAGCCTTTACTCTACTAAGAAGCATACCTTCAGTTGCCTATCTTATACCCTGGGTTGTAAGTTCCTAGAAAAACCTGTTAGTAGTATCCTTTTCAAGTTCAAACCCTTATCACAAACTAAAGGCTCTCAGCAAGGAAATGCCAACTAGATTATAAAATAAGGGGGATGTAGGCTTTTAGTGATACAGCCTTTTTAGCTGGGTAGACTCCTTGTCTCTTAGATCAAGAGATGGGTACTTTCTGTAGGCCTCAGAGCTGTAGAGAAGTGCTAGAAGCCTTTGAGCTTTGTGGGAAATGAAGTATGTATTTAGCTCTGGAGAAAATTCTGGTTCTTGAGATTTGGTTAGGAAAGGAGATGAAGCAAGGACCTTGGACCTGGATTGACACTACAGAAAGCAAAAGAGACTCCAGGTTTCCTTTCAGAGCATCTGGTCCAGCTCACCAAATTGTTAATTAATAGGAATCTAGGCAGACGTGCTTGCCAGAAAGAAGTACTATTGTATGACTGTGGCACATTTTGTGTTTTGCTTCTTGGGGATAAGAGTATGTGGGGAAATAGACAAAAATTCCATATGAAAATCATGCATTTGTGCTAAACATATAATATGTTGGACATCAGTGTCTATGTTCTAAAAACATCTCACATAATCAAGGACCTTAGGAATATTTGATTTTATAGTCTTTTAATATAAAAAACAAATTTCTGAATGTCTATTTTTAGGTATCTAGAGAAAATACGAAAGTTGATGTGTGCGTATGTGTGTGCATGCTAGACGTAGCAAATAACACAACTTAAGCAGCATAAATAAAAGATGAATTTCGAAACCACTTGACTGTCCTACAAAAATCCAATGACGAAAGTCGTATTTCAACACGTGTAGCTCAGTTCTGAAAAGCCAGAATCCCTGGGCATGTGTTAATTGATCAAATATGGTTGAATGATGAAGCTTTAGTTTGGAGGGACAAAGCTAACATCAACAGAGTTTATGTGTAATCAAGGAATTCTAGGATTCTGCTGTTTGTAGTATTATGCTTTGTTCGGTAAAATTTAAGTAGAAGAATGTCTGAGCAATAAAAGGATACCTTATGAGAAAGCTCAAGGACAGTCCCCAAACTGTCACTTATGAAAGCATCGCGAGAAAGCTTTCCTCGTTCTTGTTCTTACAAAAGAATTGGAATAAAGGATCTTTCTTTATGCCAGGGGAAATTTCCTTCAATCCTCTTCTTTTTAAATACTTACCTTGTTTTTTTCATAGACTATGCGTAGTGTTTCTTTACATTTATGATTTCTGTGGCGCTTGTACTTTCCTTGTTTAATATTCTGTACTTCTCTCAATCCCTTTTCCTAAATTTGCTGTCATTTCATTTCTCCCCTTTTTGTATTAAGTTTCCTCCTAGTTTTTTCCTTTTCCTTTAGCCCAGACCCTCAGATCTTTTCTTCACCCTATGAAGTAATATAACTTAGCTTGCTTCTCTAGTATTTAAAAAAATTTTTTTTATTTATTATGTTTATGTGTATGAGTGTATTGTCTGCATGTAGGTAAGTACACCCGTGTCATGCAATGCCTGCAGAGGTCAGAAGAGGCTGCTGGATCCCCTGGGACTGGAGTTACAAACAGTTGTTAGCTGCCATGTGGGTGCGGAAATTCGAACCTGGGTCTTCTGCAAGAACAGTCAGTGTTCTTAACTGTTGAGCCATCTCTCTAGCCCCAGCTTCTCTAGCATCTTTAAGACTGATCTATAAAGATAGACATTTTTTATCATGGCCTTTCTGCATTGTGTGCAATAAACAGAAACAAGTGAATCAGGATAACCTTTGGTCCTTGTAGTCCCTGAGGTCCAGGAGGTCCAGGGGGGCCCTAAATCAAGACAAGATAGTTTTAAAAAGGAGCAAGGATATGTGTTAAAAACCATGCTTTAAAAATAACAAACATACTTCATAACTTCCTTATTTCTATCATAATTAGATATTTCTTAATGTTGATTTATAGGGGGCAACATTCCACCAGTTACATAATGATGAAACTGCCAAGCTGTATTCTGAACCACCAACACACTTTTTAGGCCATTATACTGCTACTGATGAAGCTCTGGGACCCGTTCGGTTAGACAGCTGACAATTGCTGCCATGTTCCACATGCATCCTCTTGGGATGAATTCCCTGACTGATGTTGCCTGTCTCTAAGTACCCTTCTTAGCCTTCTACCTCAAGGCTTTGATTTCTAAGATACTAAAGGACATAACTGTCTTATTAACAGAAGACTAAAGACTTAAGAAAAAATAATTACTTTTTTTCTTGATCTTTTCACAAAACAGACAATAACTAGGGAAAATGTCTCTAAAGATTAATAATATAAACATAAATTAAATATCAGATAAAAACAATTGCTACATTAGTGCTATTTTGATCTGCATGCATTCACGCTAAACACAAGGTCACAAACCACAGAGATCATGCAATAGGAGTTACCGTGACAGTTAAGGTGGTAATCCTCTGTTGGGAAAATGGATCAATAAACACAGAGTTACCTATTTTAAGTGTCAAGTGACAGACTTAATGAAAAAAATTGCTTTTACAATATATTTTGGCAAGTTTAATGTCGTATAAGGAACAGATAAGACATGGAGAACATAATCTTAAAGACAACATAATTGTAAAGGTTTTGAAGAACATTTTTAGGATTTTATTTTTAAAATATAAGAAAATAAAGTATGAAAATTTTAATTTGCTTAGTTTAAAAAATTATGTAGTTAAGTTGCATATGCTAGAGACTTGTCAGCCTAATTGTAAACGGAGAAAGTGTTATTGATTACAGCTCTTTTCTAGAGAGGATTTGATTAAAGTGAAATATATTTTCTCCTTTACTCTGTAGCTCATTGATTGCATTACAAATTAACTTTCCTCCCACTATATGCTAACTGAAGAAACTGACATTGAATTAATCTAGTTTGTTGAAGTGCTAGAGCACTTTAACAAAATATATTCTCTCAAAGCACGGATTTCTAAAACGTGACTCCTAGGGCACGATTATGTTTCTATACTTAATATTTTATAGTAATATTGTGCTACAGCCCCTGTAGGGATGATTAGAGGGCAGTGCATTTTCCATCCAGGACTCTGGTCACAGAGAGGTATTATCTGCTTACATAGAAACGTGTGGACATGTTTTTCTGGAACCACTCCATTCCAATCTCTAATTGGAGTCTTTGTTGCCATTTTTACCATTGTTTTAAAAGATAAGCGAAACACTCTTCAATGAGTCTTTAGTGACACAGTTACCAACATTCCTTAGAAATCTACGTTTATACATGTTAGATGATTAAAGTTTGTATTGCATGATAAAATCAGTCACAGTCATTACAGCTTCAGACAAAACAGTAGAAAATGTTTGGTGTTTCTAAGACGAGGTCAAAATGCCCATAGACTGGGGCAAACTACATATGTATCCAGAATTTAATGTCATCATCTCTGTGTAACATACGGCAACACTTAGGCTATTGTTAAGAGATTTACTTAAGGAAAAAAGCTGGATTTATAGCTATGAGAAAGCTGATTTACTCAAGAGTGTAAACGAGTGATTTAAACAAACTATTAAGAAGTTATAGAGTAGAAAGACTTTCTCCTATTGCTCCCCATTATGTATTATATTTTTATCTAGAAAGCAGAGTCATAGAACTTTCTAAAGGGGAGCTGGTTTTACAACTTGAACTCTGAGATTTTCTAACAAGATCTTATCCTAATTCATGTTCCTACCTAAGTAAACATAAGATATTTTTCTTAAACTATTAAGTCTATCAATATATTTTAGAGTGAGCTGCATAATGAAAGGTTTTTATTAGTGGTAAATGAAATAACAGATGAAGTTGAAATGATGCATTGAAAAAAAAAAAAAAAACTTGATGGTGCATGCCTTTAATCCCAGCACTTGGGAGGCAGAGGCAGGCCTGGTCTAGTGAGTTCCAGGACAGCTGGGGCTACAGGGAGACTCTGTCTCGAAAAGATCAAAAACAAAAAACAAACAAACAAACAAAAACCCCACGAAAACAAAAAAAAAAACTGTGCGGGTGAGATCTGAAAATGGTACAAGGTCCGTTGTAGGTGGTTAAGAAAAGCAAGTCAGCTAACTCCACAAACATATCCTTTTGATCGCTGTCTGGGAGTAGCAGAGTAGAGACACATGCGAGGCCCTCAAGATGTTGGCTCTTCTAAGTTAAAGCTAATAAGCCCGGCAGGGATCTCTTGAAGTCCAGTAATGATTAGAAAACCAGACTTTTAGGTAGTGATTGAGAAAGACGAGTTATGATGGGGGTAGGCAGGCGCTGCGGCAGCTGTAAACTGGACGCTTTGTGATTCACTCCCAGAAGCTTCTGTAAATCCTGCTAAGTCTACTGGTTATTCCCTCTCACATCTCATGATGATAGGAGCTTAAAAATTACTCCTCAGTCATACAAGGACAGTGTTAGTTTAGATAGTGATGAAAAATGATAAATCCCGAACTAGGAAACAGAGCAGTTTTATTGTTAATTATGGGAAAACAACCATCTAAAATAAGAATTAAAAGCTTAAAGCAGTGTTTATATACATAATAGTTTTGTTTCTTTTTATAGACCTACATAATTTAGCCATATTTCTAACAGGATAGACACAAAAAAGTAATCTGTAAAAGAGCATGGACAGGACATGCTGATGTGGGAAAGACGGGCATTTTCAGTATAGGGAAGACAGGATTAGGAAGACTAGAGCCGTTCTGGGCAGGGAAGGGAAACGGGGACAGAGTGGTAGAGCTAAACTCCCCTTCATGCTGCTTAGCTTAAAAAATAGGGGTTGGGGATTTAGCTCAGTGGTAGAGCGCTTGCCTAGCAAGTGCAAGGCCCTGGGTTTGGTCCTCAGCTCCGGAAAAAAAAAAGAAAAAGAAAAAGAAAAAGAATGAGATTTATTGGCTTTTTATTTTACTCCACAATTTGAGCTCTGGTCAAAAAGATCTAGTTTGTTATATGAGTTAAAAACTGTACTCAGTAGCTGGGTGGGGAGGCACATGCCTTTAGTCCCAGCACTTGGGAGGCAGAGGCAGGTGAATCTCTGTGAGTTTGAAGCCACGCTGGTCTACACAGTGAGTTCCAGGCCACCTGGGGCTACAGGGAGACCCTGTCTCAAAAAGACACCCTCCCAAAAAATTGTTTTCAATAGCTAGTAATGAATGGGTGAGAATTATAAATACCAAATTCAGAATGTCAAATACCTCAGGCATATAGTACACATAGTACAACAACCATTTTGGGTAATGATTTATCTCCTAAATTGGGTTTTGGATCCAAAGAAGTTATTTAAACTATTCTTGATATTTTTCATAATCTGATATTTTAATAGAATAACAATTTTTAATAGAGACACTATAAAGTTTTATAGTTCTAATGTGGCATTGTAACTGTAATATATTTCTTTTCATGTAATTATATTAAAGTTGGGTTTTATTTTTTTTTGACAAAAATGAGGAGGCATCACTGGTTAGAAAATGAGATGAGCCGGGCATGGTGGTGCATGAGTTTAATCCCAGCATTTGGGAGGCAGAGTGGATCTCTGCGAGTTGGAGGCCAGCCTGGTCGACATAGCGAGGTCCAGGCCAGCTGGGACTACAGGGAGACCCTGTCTCAAAAAGACCAATAATATAAATAAATAAGCCTGGTCTATACAGTGAGTTCCAGGACAGCGGGGGCTACAGGGAAGGACCTTCCAGTAAAAAAAAAAAAAAGAAAAAGAAAAGAAAAAAGAAAAAGAAAATGAGATGAACATGTTTCCTACCTCTTCTCTATCCAGCGGCTATTTGAATCAATTTTATGAGGGATTCAGTCTACTAGAGTACTATGTTAGGAAAACTAACAAATAGTCTCGAACTGAAAAATGACTATAAGGTCTTTATGAGCTCAATGTATGGTTGCCTCAGCAACAGCCTATGATTAGGGCTGGACATAGTATGACACAGTTGGCTGTGATGGATATTGATTGGATACTTTTTTTTTTTTTTTTTTTTGGTCTTTTTGAGACAGGGTCTCCCTGTAGCCCCAGCTGTCCTGGAACTTACTATGTAGACCAGGCTGGCCTTGAACTCACAGAGATCTGCCTGCCTCTGTCTCCTGATTGCTGGGATTAAAGGCATGCACCCACATGCCCAGCCTGATTGGATACTTTTTACAGTCATACTGACTTGGGATGAGAAACAGATACTGGGGGGGCATGTGTCCTTTCATATCAAGAAGCAGCTGTCAGATTAATTTTCTAAAAAGTACAGAGTTTTCAGGAACTTTGGTAAAAAGTGTTCAGGAGCTCCTAAAAACAGCCCTAAAGTTAACATTATAGTTCATGAGCTCACAGAACTATTTACTCCAGGGAAATCTTCATTTTGCAGCTAAGGTCAATGAAGTACAGATATGGTGGTTTTCCCCAAATGACCAAGCTCCTAGTAGTAAAGGGAAGAATGAAATAGAAATTTCCATCTTCATCTTGGGTAGCCCATATGCAAAGAATGCTTTAAAAGCACTTTAATACTTTGGAGAAAAATGCCAATAACATGGGAGCACTTCTTGGAATTTAAGAGAACTGATACATCTTGTGGCAGTTTGAATGAGAAATGCCCCTCCCGCATAGGCTCATGTATTTGAACACTTGGTCTCCAGTGGTGTTGGTTTGGGAGGTCACGGAGCCCTTTTTAGGAGGGGGGCCTTTCTGGAGGAAGTATGTCACTGGGGGTGGTTTTGAGGTTCACAGCCTCACCCCGATTCCTCTTTCTCTCTGCTTGCTGAGTGAGGATGCAGTGTGATCAGCCTGCTTCCTGTTCCTGCTGCCATGCCTTCCTTGCGTACATTCCTCACCATGATGGACTCTGTCCCTCTGGAACTGTAAGTTAAGATGGACCTTGTCTACTCTATGCTGCTTTTTGTCAGGACATTCTGTCACAGCAACAGAAAAATAACTAGCATACCTCTTAAAGCTGGAGGCAAGAGCTACGGTGCAACTGGGAGAAGTTCAAGGGAAATTGTAGCATTCGTAATAAAGTTTTAAGACGTGTCCCCGTGCTTTACTGCATAAGAAGTTTGAAAACATAGTAGCTACATAAAACTACTCTGTTTCTGCCTCTCCATATGTAGTATGTATCAACTTGTAGGGAAAAGAGAACAATTTTGAAAACTGGTTCTAGAATTTGATAAGAACCTCAAGGTTTAATCTGCTTGTAAGGAGCAATACTAATTCAAGCTCTTGACTGGACATTGTCCAATCCACATTTGTCCAAATAGGAAACAGAAAAAAGGTCAGTAGTTGTACTGAGGGGCACAAAAGTGTAGATCTACCAAAATTAGATCACTAGCCACTAACCATTAGCTAGGTGTTTACTGCATATCTACATGCCCAGGCAATATAAACATAAAACATGCTTTTTGTCACCAAGAAACTTACAATCTGGCAAGGGAAAAATTAAAATCACAATTACGTAATTAAAGAATATGCTACACTATTGGAGCCTATTAATGGAAGGATTTAGATAAAGAACTCAGCTGGTAAGAGCAGCAGATTTAAGGATCAGATCCAGTGGATGAAGAAGGAGAGCAAATTAATGGGGTAAACATAGGCAAAAGACAGTGTAGAGATATGATAAAAATGACCATGGCAGGGGAAATAAATGACCTGACAGAAAAGACATAATTGTAGAGCCTTAAATGTCAGCTGGGGGAGTTGCCTTGATAGAGAGTAAGAGGTCATGCAGAGTTTTGGGCAAATTAGAACAATCAAAGTAATAGGTGCTTATGAAAATCAGCCATGGAGTTATACACAGGTTAGATTTAAGGGGAAGGGGGATACTAGGAATTGGCAGTGTTAGGTATGGAATAGACAGGATGTGGACCTCTTTGGGGATGAACAGAACAAGCAGTGATGAGATGTGTGTTGTGAGGAAAGTGGCAGCATCTGGTTAGATGAATGAAGAAGGACTGAGAATAGCTTTATACCGCTCTAAACTTCCTGCTCCCAGAAAGACAAAGACACATGGCATCACTAACAGACACTACTTATTTGATAAAGCAGATCATTTGGTAGGTGGGAATTGAGCATATTTGTGGAACTCAATAAGGAAATGACGTGCCAAGTGCGAAATTATTCTTAGCCAGCTGGAGGGCACATGGACTAGACCCAGAGATGGCAGAATAATTTGTTAGAATACAGAGGGATAACTACTAAGAAAAGGTCAGAGCCCTCAAGTTAGCAAAAGCCAGGGGATGAACAAAGAAGTGTGAGGTAGCGAAGTGGAGTGGCTCCATGAGGGAAAAGAATGGAAGGAACTGATGCATCAGGCCAGAGCGGCCACAAGATAATTTGAAAGGAAGGTGATTCAGCATAAATGTCACAGGAAAGTCAAGGATGACTATAATGGGCTTTGCCTGGGTGTCACAACTGGATGATGGCAGACACCACAAAGCACCAGAGCATAAACATAAGAAGGTCGAACAAGAGGTAAGGGTAGGGGGGCAAGCCACATGGTCCATCTTTTTATGTTTTGGAAGAAAACCATTTGAATAGTATCCATAAAAACAAATAGGTTACTCTGTGCCAAGCACAGTTCTGGGTGTGTGTTTAGCCATTTTCTCCTGGCAATAACCCAATGAGGCAGTTACTGCTAATGTCTTCATTTTAAATATGAGAAACTGAGGCACATAGAAGTAAAATGACTTGCTCAGTTACAGATCCAGTAAGTAGGAGCACCAAGATCTTTTTTCTTTCTGTTTTTTTTTTTTTTTTTTTTTTTTTTTTTTTTTGAGACAGGGTCACCCTGTTGCCCCAGCTGGCCTGGAACTCACTATGTAGGTCAGGTTGACCTTGAACTAACAGGGATCTGCCTGCCCCTGCCTCTCCAGTGCTGGGATTAAAGGCATGCAGCACCACGCCAGGCTGAGTACCAAGATCTTAACTGAAGCAGCGCCTGTTCAGAAGCATAGAACTTTTAAATGCTTTGTAAATCTCCTTCTTTGAGGAAGCAAAAAATTGTCCAAACTAACATAAAGTTTATACTTGGTAAGGTTTAGGAATATTTAAAGGCAGAAAAGAAACAAAAGGCAGAGATTAAAAGTAGTGGAGGGAGAGCTATTGATGGCTCACATGGATCACTCTCCATGTCTCAGGACAGGGAGCAGTCACTTACCTGTAAGGCCTCATGGAGGTTGCCGTTGTAGTCTATGATCTCAGTGGCTCCTGGATCTCCCTTTTGCCCGGGTGGACCCTGTGGCAACACACAAACCAATGGAAAGTCATGGAAGCTAGACCAGCGTACAAGACTGTCATACAGGAGCGACCTGCTGTTCTCTCTGCTCTTTCCCTACTGAGACCCAAGCGCATTTCAGAATAAATAATTAAGTTTGAATTTTGTCCTTATTGTAAAGGAAACAGGCCACTTCTCTCTTCCTGTCTTCAGCAGATGTGAAAACTGACTTCAAAAGAGATGATTTAATCCTCGAAACAGTGTCCTGAAAATTAAAAAGTATTTGATGCATCTTGAAAGGCTTTATTGGCTTTATCTATATTTATTTAGGCAACTGCTAACCTTTTTCCACTCATCTAAGCCTCATCGATTGCTTCCTCATTCTGCAAGAGAGAGCAATGTTCTGTAGCAAATGCTTGGCTTTCCCAATAGGAATCTCATCACATGAAAACCAGAGCAAATGGCTAACAAAGATCTCTCTCTCTCTCTCTCTCTCTCTCTCGTTCTTGCTCTCTCTGTCTTCTCATACACACACACACACATGCACATACACATGCTCACATGCACACACACGCTCACACACATACACACACTCACAGACTCTAGAGTTCTAGAATATACACACATTTCTCTACATAGTCTAGATTTTTCATCTTACTTGTTATATCTGCCATAATTTCCATTAGCCATATCTTCAATTCCTTATCTTTTTATTTAAAATATTTTACTCATTTTTATTTTAGCCTGTGTATGAGTGTATTTCCTGCATGTATGTAGGTGCACCTGCGTCATGCAGTGCCCACGGAAGTCAGAAGAGGGTGTCAGATCCCCTGGAACTGGAGTTATGGATGGTTGTTAGCGGTTGCATGAGTGCTGGGAACCCAACCTGGGTCTTCTGCAAAAGCAGCCAGTGCTCTTAACTGCTGAGCCATCTCTCCAGCCCCTAATCCCTGGCTTTTTTAAAAAAGAGTATAAACGTGTGGCTATTGCGTTACTGAAAAATGGAACTTTTATTAGCTGGATGTCTGCAGGCTTGCTGTTGATCATTTAGTAGCAGGGATGTAGATTGGAAGAGGGTTTTTGTTTTCTTTTAAACACTTTTTTCCTCCCAATAAAGCTTATTTTACAGGTAGGAATCCTGACACTAACTCCTCCTGGAAAGTAAAATCAAAACTGCAGAGCAGGGGGAGAGGCAGGGCAGGGACTGTCACAGTCTACTCTAATGCTTTTTCTGTGCACTGTGGGTTCAGGCGTCTCTCATAAAGTCACATAGACATGACTTCAAATCTGAGTTTGTAAGGGGCAAAAGTTTAGACAAGAGGAACACTCACCCTTGGTCCCAGAGCTCCGGAGTCCCCCTTGTCTCCACGGTCACCCTTTTCCCAATGAGAAAAGAAAAAAAAATTAATTAGCAGTAGGGTTAATGATGTAGAAATCTCTTACATCTAACGATTGGTTTATAGCACACAGCAGCAGTTTAGACAAGTAAGTGCTTTCTCAAGGCACAGCCAACAGGAATGAAAACGTCCTTCTCAGATAACAGGATGTTTTGGAGCAATTGGGCAGACTATGTGGTAACTCTCTGGCTAGGTAGGACTGCAAAGCAAAATGAGTGGTTTCTATGGTACCCAAAGTAATCTTTACCTACAGACTGAGCAGTGCTGTTTTCATTTGAAGGGATTTAGGACAAAAGGAAAAGGAGCCAACCGATTGTGGCTTCTGTTTTCAGAGAAGAAAAGTCTAGCTATATGGGACAGGAAGGAATGAAGAGTTCATCCTAGGGAGGATGGGGAACACAAGACCAGAGGCTCAGCCTCCCTCTGATGATGATCTATCTGCAGCTACTGGCACTTGAACTTTCAGTGTGAAGTTGACAGAAGCCAGCTGGGCCAGACTGGACAGGCTGAAGATCAGGGGCAGGACAGAGCCGTCCGTCCTTCTCCTTTCCGCTTCTCTTTCATTTCCTCTTTCTGTGCCTCTGTCCTTTCTCTCTGGTTCTCTCTTTCAATGCAATATGAAAAGACTCTCTAAAGTTTTATTTATAGTCTTATAACTCCACCTACAGTGATACTAAGAATAGTCTAAACTTTTCAAATAGTCAGAACACTAAACTGAAACTTAAGCTTGAACAATTTATTATGATTTAAAGGTTCTCTTAAACAGCTTAAAATTACAAAGCCCTTTTTCTATATTGAACAGAAAGTATTTTTCTGTCTTTCTGCATATTTCCACAAAGGATCCTTGTTTCTATAAAGGATAAGGACCAACAAGGATAAGGAGGGTGAAGAATTAAAAATGCGATACCAACAACACAGGCCATAGTCGTTAACCTTGCCATGAACAGAGAATTAACCACCTCTAACCTCTATTTTGATTTTGTGTATTAGCAAACAGCATTGTAAGTGACAGAGCATGCTTTCAGACAGGACAAGGATGGTGACAAACGGGAGAGCTACTGGTGGCGAGTTTTAATTTTTATTTATTTTTATTTCTGTGCGTGTATGTGCATACATGCATGTGTTTGTGTGTGCACGAATGCTGGGGCACTGTGCCACACTGTGTGTTGTGGTCAGAGGACAACCTTGAGTGCTGAGCCCTGACTTCCATCTTGTTTGCTGGTTTGACTATGTAGCCAGGTGAGGAGGCTTGCAGCTCTTGTCTCTGCCTCCCAGCTTCCTGTCGGGTCACTGGGATTGCAGATGCTTGAGATAAACATCCAGCTTTTATGTGGGTTCTGGGGATTCGAGCTCCGGGTCTGACCTTGTGCGGCCAACACTGACTCACTGAACCACCTCCCCAGCCCTGATGGTGGCATTCTAAGGCACTGAAGGGAATCAAATAACAAAAACACAGTCTAATGTGAGCATGTGTCACAAAGAAGGCTAGGAAATGAAAAATAAGAGTATACAATACATAAATTATGCTTTCCCCAAAGAAGTGAGTTTTTCCCCTATGTTTAGTCCCCAGACTTTTTT